CTCCAGTCTCCTCTCGTGAGAGTCAGATCGGGTCTCGAACAACAAGAAAAACGACCCAAAGAAACACACATCTCTTGGAGAAGGGTAATTCATTAGACCAATTATTCATAAGGAACTTTCTGGATGTACAATATGCAAATGCCTTATAAATAAAAATTGTTCCTATTAGGTGACTCTTATTTGCTATTCATTTCATTTCAGCCAGCATCTCCCGAGGAGATGAAATCTGAGATAGAGACTATGAATATTAACTTTATTCACGCTGATGTTCCGGCTGACGTATTACTGAACCCAACTGGGGGAAAATGCGAGAAATAAATTGCTGCGTTGAGTAAGATGAAAATTCTCCATTTATTATATTGAATTTAATAATTACATTATTTATTACAGTTCAGGAGATAGTTTTCAGTATCTAACTTCTTTTGAAATAAATCTTTGGGCTATTTGAAGAGGTCCTTCTTAACTGTTTCTGATAAGAACACGGTTCTGTGTAAAAGGCTTTAACTCCTGTCAAAATCGAATGATGTGAACAAGACAGTGTCGTATTTTACATGGCATTCGGGTACATATTACTCCCCCAAAACGTAAGGTATAATGTATGCAATAGGCTGTTTATTAGTAAAACCGCCAGCCCTCAACAAGTATAAAAGGAATGGCCTCGGTCATTCGTTACTTTGAATGAAGGGTGCTGTGGTCTGGACGTCTGTGTCCCCCCCACTGAAGTCACGTGTCCAAACCTAACCCCCTTGTGAAGGTGTCTGGGGGCGGAGCTTTGCGAATGTGACTCCATGTGAGATAGGGGAGTCCTTGGGCATGGGCCCCCGTCCTTGTAAAAGGGGCCCGGAGAGTGCCACCCCACTCTGTCGGGTGTGTGGGGGGCCTGTGACCCGGAGTGGGGCTCTCCCCAGACCGTGAGTGACCGGTGCCTGAGCTTGACCCTCCCCGCCTCCAGAGCTGGGAGGGATAACCGTTCGCTGCTCATCAGCCACCCAGGTTATGGTGCTTTGTTGCAGCAGCACGAACAGACTGACTACGCATGATTTAACATTCTTTTTTCTTTTCCATACAAGAAACTCTCTCTCTATTCTAGACTCCGCTGCCCACCTGTCGGGTGTCAGGGAGAGAGGCAGAGGGTGTGGACGGCCAGGGGACGTCCGCCTTCGGCAGGTAGGATGTGGAGCTCGGGCGCAGCAGTGTCCCACCTGCGGCCCGCATGCCGCGTGCAGGCAGCCCAGGATGGCTGTGACTGTGGCCCAGCACATAGTTGTGGATCTGCTTATTTTTCTTTTGTGATTACCGGTTGCAGTGTGTTTAATGTGTGGCCCAAGACAACTCTGCTTCTTCCAGTGTGGCCCAGAGACGCCAAAAGCTTGGACACCCCTGGCCTACCTTTGGAACAGGGTGTCTGGGTTTGCCTCGGCCCGTGTGCGTGCAGATAAAAGAAAATACACCCCCAGCCCATGTACAAACACACAGATCTTCACTGTTTAAGGCACTGTAGATAAAACATAAAGTGAGGATTTGCACAGAAAATGTAAAGTTGTGCGTCATACCCAAAGTTTAATTAATTTCACTAATGGAGAGAAACCTAATTGATTTTTTCCTTTCTTTTAATCTCAAGCATGTACGCTTTGAATTGACTAGGAAATTCTTTTTTTAAAGTAGGCTGCCTTTCAGGACTAATGCTATGTTCCTTCCTACGATGACACCAATTAGTGCAAGATTAGATTAGGTTCAGATTTCTCTGTGTAAAGGTCAAGTTTATATTAGTACTCTAAAAAACCAAGGTTGAAATTACTGCTATTTCAAATGAGCTATTTAGATTACCTGTACGTGCATGAGTATTAATTAAGAATACATTAGAAACCCCACTCCTTTTAATTTTAAGTATATGGATGTTTTATGTGAGTGATAGAAGTTAAACTTTTTTATGAGAATATAATTATAGTGTACAAAATACAGTCCACAATTCAAAATACCCTGCAAACTTAAGTGTGATAAACTACCTAAAAATGCCTATCTCCTCACCTCCACGAGACACAAACGCCGCACATAACACTAGAGAACACGAGAGTCGTGGTCCGCACCTCACCATGCTGTAGAAACTCGAACCAGAAAACAGTTCTGAGACCCCTGCCTGCCATGGCCATGGCCGCCGCCACGGCCCTGCAGAGGGTGTGCGCCTCGGTTCCCAGACTTAACCAATGGGCACCTACTGTCTGCCAGCCTTGGGAGAAAAACCGTAGTTGAATATGATCATTTCTTTTTCTATCTCCTCTCTATTTAAAATAAAATAAGCATGTATGATACTAACCACTCCCTTTCCATCCTAATTCAGGTACATTGTCAATACTGTTCAATCCCATATTCCCATTGGATGTTTTTTTATTGGCTAAGTGAACGGAACTTCCACATTTAGGAAACTAAATGGGCGTAAAGGATTGAATGTTGACAACAGCTACACCGAACGGATCCCGGGGCCGCGGACTGGTTCCCAGGGGGCCACAGGGCACAGCTTCGGGGAAACACCCCCGCCCCCTGCCGCCGAGGTTCCCGTGATGAAGCCGGTAGGAAGACCCCTGACCTCTGGGGGCGTGGTTCCAGCCTGCCCGGGGAATAGAGGAGCTCCACGAGAAGAGCGCCCACCCTGCTGTGCCCTGGGCAACTGCACACTCTCGCCCTCCCTGGGGTTCAAGGCCTCCAACCCCACGTGGTCACCCCGTGGCCGTGGTGAGGAGGCGTGGGTGCGGGACAGCAAGGACTCGGCGGAAGCCCCGGCGAGCCAGCCTCGGACCCACTAATTCTTGGGTGTTCGGTCAGAAAGGCCTTTGAAGACTCGTAGCCCCCTCATTTCCTACCAGAAAACCCGCAGATGAGGGCGGTGCAGGGGAGAGTCTGGGCTCAGAGCTCCCGCCTCCTTCAGGCTTGGGAAGCACCCCCCCTTCAGGATTGGGAAGACCCCCCGCCCCCCCCCCGCCCCCCGCCCCCCGCAGAAAGGATCTGGGAGCGGGGAATGTGGGAATGCCTCTCATGCAGCCCCTGTGTGTGTCCCTGGACCCACTGCGGGGGATTTGGGCGGGTGGCCAACGTTGGGGTGGGGCGGGCTGGGCAGGCGGGGCGGGGGGGGCGGGGGGAGGAGAGGCTGGTGTACGTCATGGAGGGCGGGGACCCCGCAGCAGCCCCGCAGCCCTGCTCAGGAGAAAGGAGTTCATCCTTGAGGGGCCGAGGAAAGTCGCCTTTGGAAGTGGAGACTCTGCGGCTGTGACCCAGGTCCGTGCAGTAGCGCGCCCACGGCGTGGCGACAGCCACAGAGCCACGTGTGCACGGTCCGGGGCCTACGTGGCGTCCTGTGGGGGATGGGCTGGAAACAAATGTTTGGCTGCCGACGCCGGGGGGCAGGGCAGGGCGTAGGTGGGCGGAGCCCAGGGGTCCGTGGTTACAGACCACAAAATGCCTCTCTGCAGCCCAGCTTCTCTGGAGTTTTAGCGTATGAAGTTGTTTTACTACGCTGTCAGCGCAGCCGTTCTTTTGCAAAGACGCGCCCGCGGTTTAATCCAGGTCTGCACCTGGAGGAGCGCGCTGCCAGGGGTTTTGAGGCTGTCGGCCCTTCGAGCTGCAGGGTAACTAATTTATGGGGCATCTCATGCACTGACACCGAAGGCGAGTTGGCTATGCAACAAGCAACGGCCGTGACTTTCGGCCCCGCTCAACACTGGTTCCCCCTGGCTGATGTGAAGCTAAACTTTCCAGACGCAAAACAGCCCATTCCACTGCAGCCGCGTCCTGCCAGTTAACGTCAAGGCACGTGAGAGGCGGTCACACTGGCCATGATGCGGGGGGAATCCTCAAAGCGCCTCGCATGACCATAAGGATGACATGGAGACCACGTGATATGTGACACGTACCACAGGGAACAGACCTATTACCAGTGTTATTAAGATAATTTTATCTCCATATTAAGCATCCTACATTACATACACACTACATTTGTAAGCATGCACATACTTATAATTATACTTAAGAATTCCCCCCCTACAAAATATACACGCTTTAATTTCATCCCAGAAGCGAAATTCCAGGACTGTGCTGTGTACGATTTCTGTGAGCGGCACACAAGTCACTATTTTCTCTCGGGATCTGCATCAACGGAAACCTGTCCCTGGTCCTCCTTCGCCCCAGGCCGAGGGACAATGGCTGTTGCCGCTGCGCACTGCCACCTGGGGGGCCACCCTGCCGAGGGGCGTGGCTGGCTACCCCAGGTTGGGCGCACCTGTTGCTGTTGACAGGCTCTGTCCCTTAGCAGAGACCTTAGCTGCCAGCGGGCGGTGACGCTTTGTGAACTGACACGGGCATTTGTGTCGGCGCCGGGACGGTGCTCACGACCCAGGGAGAGTGCGCGCTCCGGCGATGCCGGGCCCACCCAGGGGCTCCGAGGTGAACGGCCCAACAACACACAAGTCACAGGCACGGCCACAGCAGTAACATGTTTAAATAACGTCAGTGCTCAGCGTCCCTTTGAAGCAACATTCGCTCGCACGACACACAGGGCACCTGTTTGAGAAAGACAAGGGACCGCAGAGAACAGGATGGCGACCCACCTGCGGAGCTGGTCGCCCGCACCGGCCGGCGGCCGACCCGTGTCCAGGACGCGGCTGGAGAAAGGCGCGGATCTCACAGCGTCAGGAAAAGCGTCGACGCCGTGTCCTGCGACCCTCGTTTGCCAGGCCCCGAGCTGGCCTTCGGTCGACCGCCTGGTACCACTTTGTGAGGGGTTTAGGTGGCCACGATTTTACCAAAGGCACCTGAAGGGGTCACATCCCTAGGAAAGCAACGCCGGCAGGCGATGCCACGGGGAGTTTCTGGTGACTGTGACAAACATTTTTGGGAAATGTCATGAGAGGAAAGAAGAGTCCATCAGCGTTTTCGTCTGCATTGTAATGTCCCAGTGAGCATGGGAGGGCCACCAGGACGAGAAGGGGCGAGACCGGGTGGGTACTCACCGCTCTGGTGCCCGGGCAGCCTGGAGACTGGCACTCGCCTCGCATCCGGTCGGGGACCAAGACGTCCTCCCAGCAGGACGGGCCCTGGGGGAAGAACACACAGACAGGTCCTCGGTGCCCACACTGCGACATGAATGTTCTCCCTAACACAGGCTGTACCCCTCTGTCCTCACCAAGTGACCGCGGCGTGAACATGTGCCCCCCCGACGGTCCCCGAGGCCCGTGACTTCCAGGGCCTGGGCCACAGCCCTCGAGGTCCCTCCAGGGGCCCGGTAGGTCGGGACCACTTTCATGAGCGACACTTGGCACCTTGCTCCAAACAGGAAGCTCAAGGACACGTGGTAACCTCCCATTCCCGTTCAATGTGATTGCTTAAAAACTTAAATACATTTCTTAAACTCAGGGTGACTTCAACGGACAACCTTTAAATGAAAACACACACACGCGTACATCACACCCAGAAGGACTGTTCAGGGCAGCCCTGCAGTGGGGGCGGGGGGCACTGCAAAGGGACCGCCTGTCACAGGGGCCAGCTGAGCGGACCCAGCTCGCCCCTCTCCCTGGCTCCACGGAAATGGGTTGAAGAACCAGCAGATCGTAGAACCAGCGAGAAGACGGAGCACTGGGGGGGAAGAGACTCCCGCCTCTCCAGAAACGCGCAAGCAGAGCAGGGCCCCTGTGCCCTGGAGGAGCGCGAGGAGGCGGGCTCTCAGAACAAACAGAAAAAGGGCGGAAGGAGCGAGGGCAGCGGGAGACCTGGAGCCGCAAACGTGAAAAAAGTTAAATTTCCATCAGGTTTAATTTTCATAAACAGGAGATCCTAAAATCTTCGAGAGAGAGAGAGAGTGTCGGATCACCTACCGGAAACAAAAGTCAAACCAGAGTTTTAAAGCACTGCCAACATCCCCAAGGCCTGGAGGGAAGGGAGTCCACCCTGCGACCGTCTCTCTCACCTAATCACCAACTAACTCAGCGGAGGACGGGGCATCGCGTTCTCGGATGCGGAGGCGCAGAGTCTCGAAGGCTGCTGTGCGCCTGGCAGGTCTCGGCGTTCAGAAGATCGCCCGCCAGCCTGAGGGAGGGGCGGGGCCGCCTGGGCCCCCCTCCCCGCGGCTGTGCCTGGGAGGGGCTCACGCCTGGGCAGACCTGGGTGCCACCGTCTCCGCAGTGGGCAGGAAGGGAAGGAGGGAAGGGCGTTGTGAGAGCCAGTGCCCAGGCAGCGGCCGAGGAAGGTTAGGACAGGGCTGGGGCTCCGGTGACTGACTACCGAGGACGTGGGGACCACCCAGAGGTCAGAGTTAGGGTGGAATCCGTCATCGCCAGTCAGCACCAGGACCACCCACTCCCGGACCCAGACCAAGCAGCCACCCGGACACCCTGTCGCCGAAACCAGAGGGACCACGGAAGGCACCCGAGGGTCCCCGGCCCCTCTCGGGGGTCTGCAGGAGGCCCGCTGGCCTCCCTGCTTCCTCCACCAGCACAAAGCGCGCCCGTGCTGTGTTGAGGAAAACCAGGGGCAGCAGGCACGGCCTGGGAGACCGAGCAGCTCCCTCCAAGCCCTGAAGCCAAACCTCACAAGGAGACACATCACAAATTCACAGGCCATTGCTCTGAAAGCCACAGCTTGAACGGGAAGGACGAAGCGATGACAGGAAAAGGGTCACACAGCCAGCCCGGGACTCGGGCTCTTAAGAGAGGCCGCTTCCGAGCTTGGCCCGTGGCTGCCGTCTGGGACTCCGGATGCGGGGAGGCCTCCCACCCCGTTCTCTTACCGGTCCCGAGGGTCTGCAGCATCTAAAGTGCGTGTGCAGACAGCGGGGTGTATGCCGAACGCCCCCCTCCCCCCATGCCTGAAAGTGTGAGCGCGGACTCGGGCGCACGACGAGAAGCCCCGAGAAAACCGCTGGGCTGGGCTGTTACCGTCCTGGGGCGGCAGGCGTGCCCTGTGTGACCCGGTGGGACAGGACGCCTGGCAGCTTGTCTGTGGTTTCCTCCGACTTCACTCCAGTGCCCTTCCTTCTGCCACGGGGCCCCCTTTCCCAAGTGTCTGACTGTCCACTGAGTCCTACGTCCACCCAGTGAATCAGCAGCCCAGACATGCAAACAGTCTTGGGGGCCCACGACCGAGAGACACACGGCTGGTCAACGAGGACATGATCCCCCAGCCACACAGAAGGGCCGGGGCTCCTGACCATCCGTCTGTCACCGGGGAGGAAGGGGTTCCGTTTCCGTGCACGTCCCCGTGTGGGCAGGCTCTCACAGGCCGCCGCTGCAGTCATGGGATGGGGCAGCCACTTGATGTCCAGCCTCACACTCTCGCCACTGAAAAGAGGACGGGGGTGTCAGGTAGGGTTGTGCAACCACATACCTACGACAGGCGGCTTGGACAACATGAAAGTGAAGGTACGAATGTTAGAATCGGAAGCAAAGGCGGGGCTAGGAAAGCCTGCTGCTTCTTATTGCAAGGGCATCTGCATATGTGTGCTTATAGCCACTTGATAAAAAGGACCACTGGACTGAAGTCAAAGGGAAGGAAGGCAGTGGTCCCCAGAACCCGCCCCCCACCCGTCAGCCTCGCTTTCTCACCGGGAGTGGGAGATTCCATGGGGCCAGGAGCGGCTGGGACGCAGGTCCCACGTCACACTCGGTCCTCGGAGCGTGTGCTTGCTCACGCACACTAAAAAACTAGTGCCCCGTGGGTTTATGCCGCTACAAAGCAGATGCAACTTTGCACCCTCCTAGTGGGAGAAAACGTGCAGGGTTAACTGGGTGATCGCCCCGTGCCATGTTTCTGGGGTTCTGTGGCCGCAGCGTCTGTAATGACAGTCTTTGCTGGGCGTGACGGTGTCCCCAAGACGACAAAGCCCCGCGCACTGTAGAGGGGGGAATACCATGGAGAGAACCCCACCCCCCACCCAAAGAGAGATTTCACTTCTCAAAGGTGGAGAAACTCGTCTGAAAATCCTGTCAGGACAGGGTGAGATACACATCGCCGTAAAGAATCAGTTGGCTGCTTTTTAGAAAACTTGCTCCTTTTCATGCCCAGTATTAACTACAGCCAAGGAAAACACACAAACCCCTTGAACTCAATGGCGGGGGCAGCAAGCTCGGGCCTGCTGGCCTCTCCGGCCTGCGGCTGGTTTCCTTCCGTGCGGCCCACAAACGCGGGATGGTTTTGGGTGTTTGCATGGTGGGAAAGGGGGAGCGGAAGGAGGGGGCACTACTCGATGGCACGTGAACAGTAAATGACACTCACGTCCCCTGTCCCCGAGGAAGCTCGCCAGAACCCGGCGGTGACTCCTGGGTGGTCTGTGCCGCTCTCCGAGGGCAGGGCTGGGTTTCAGCACAGGCCACGTGACTCACAGAGCCCAAAATACTTACTGACTAGCCCTCAACTGAAAGTGTTTGGCAGTCCTTGACCTACTGTAAATTACTGAAAAAAACCCCCCAAAACTGTGACAGCCTGTCGTTCCCCGTCTGATCGCCCCAGTGTGGAGGAGCGGCTGTTCCCGGGCCCCGAGTGAGAAGTCAGTTCAGTGAAAAGCCTAGAGCCCTTGACCCCTGCGTTCGGAAGAGGGGTTGCTTGGGGCAGTGACGCAGGCCCTTCGAGTGCGAGGGGAGTGGAAAATCACAGCCAGAGGTGACACCTGGGGACTCGTCCTGACTGATCCTACCAGCAGCCGAAAACGACGACGTGAAACGTTACGTGAACACAGCCACGTGACGCACGCACAACAGGAAAATGGCGCCGTGGCACGACCCCCGTTTCTGGAAGGAGTTTTCGTTTCCGCTGAGCCCTGAGGAGCGAGCGGCAGTCGGACGGCGAGAGGGACGCTCGGGCACAGAAGGCAGGACCCCGATCTGGGAGGGCGGAACCACGTGCCACCGGCCCGGGGGTGGGGGTCCCCGGGGTCCCTCCCCCCACCGGACGGCACTGAGAATTAGTTCATGTCCGGTTCACCCCTTCTGCACAGCACTCTCACTACCTTAACCGGCCCACACCACAGTTGGAGTCCATAGTCTGATTCAATCACACACACAGTGAAATGGGATACTACGCAAAGTTCTGATTTCAAAGCAATGAGGATGCCAAGGTCACAAATAATGTTTTGATACTTTTGCACCAGCTGGACTGAGTTTCAAATCTAATGGGTGTTGCCAGCGCACAAGGATGGGGAAGTTGATGGATCAGAACGTTTGTTTCTTATGTGTAACGCGGGAATACTGATTGTATGGTATTACTAGTATAATACCATCACGCAGTTAATGTTCAATAAACGTTAGAGGGCGCTGCCAAATGACAGTAGTACAAGAAAACCGTGACCACAGAAAGCACCTCTGTACACAAAGTGCCAGAAGATCTAAGTTCTAGACATACTTTCCCTAGGGTTTAGGCTAACCGATTTAACAGCTGTTTGCCTCACTTGCCTGTCTGTGCATTGTGGGTAACAAGTGCTCAGGGTCAAATCAGGTAAGGGATGAGCCAGTTGATGGGAAAACCCATGGTCAAATACAAGACGCCACGGAGAACTTGGTTAGTGCAGAGGCAGGGGAGCTGCGTGGGTGCTGGGACTCGCTATTCGCCCCACTGCAGACAGCCCCAAGTGCAATCAATGCCAGCGGCCAGCAGACGAGATGCCTCGTCCATCATGACGCGCCGCTGGCGTCAGCAGTTAACCGGAGCGGGTCCGTGACCCGGCGCCGCGCACAGGGGGTGACGCATCTGCCGTGTAAACAGGGTAGCTCGGCTGGCCTCGGAAACTCTCCCCAAAGACTGGGTTCTCCCTGCAGCTTCCAGAACATCACTGGGCAGAAGACAGACTTCCTCCCACGACTGAAGTGTGCTTCGTGCCGCCCCAAGAAAGCATTTCATAATCTAATCCTCGATAACATGCTCTTCGCATCCAAGGAAGTCATCACAGGAGAGAGAGATCACATCTCCTCCAGAACTCGGCGCTGCTGTGAGTCTCGGGCCACGGCACGGCAGCCCCGCTGGCTGTTGACAGAGGCGACCGCGGCCGTGATTTATCGAGAGTCCCCACAGGCGGGGTGCCGTCATGCTAAACGCATTAAACGCCGAATGC